CGCAAAGGGGGAAGGGGGAAAGGAAGGACCGAAAATGGTGTAGTTTTTCCTACAATTTTCACTAATTATTATAAAATTTATGTATTCTTACGTATAGAGTGACTCTATGTTTATTATTTTTTATTATTTCAATGAATTAAAGTGGAAATTCACTTTATTTAAATAATAAAAACACTGAAAATTAAAAATTGTATATGTGACGGTAATAATGCATACAAGTAGCTGAAGTACCAAGATAACCCAACCAACCATTTATACAAGACCCCCTAAATAATAAAATTAGGTTTTCATTTGTATGTAGTTTTTTTTTATTTCGTGTTATACACATATTTAATAACACCCAGTAACGAAATAAATGGGTCTGTCTTTTTTTATTTTTTATTTCCCGTCTCCATAAAAATTCAACTTACATCAGCAAAATTTGCCGTATTATATAGTTATCCTTATAAAAAAATCCCTTCACTACACGCCAATGAGACTCGAATCTTTAGGTGTGTATGCCATCCTCGGCGATGAATGGATTGCCAGGTTTCACTATGGTTAACCTTTTCATGGATGTAACCATACTCAGGGAGGCATTCATATGCGCGCCAAAAATCGGTCCTTATGGTTGTCCCGTCGTGTATATGCTTACGAATAAGAGGGATGAGGATCTCAACGGAACGTACATTGTCAGGGCATACCTCCAGTCTAAGGTCCTCACTACCATCCTCTATCATTACCAGAACCCAATGCCCTTCTACGCGTCTTGCTGAACAAAAAAGAAAAGTATTTGAATAGACATAATTGCATTATAYATAAATTATTATTATTACCTTTGTTGTATTTGCGTTTCCCGAATTTATTTTCGTCAATCTGCACTTCCTTACCTAGACCACCAATCTTTCCTTTGACTTCTTGGTGGTCTAACTGAAATATAACTACCGCTTCCCTGCAGTAGCTGTACCAGTCGGAGATAGTGCCGGATGACAATTTTTTTTCCAACGCTCGCATAATCCTGCGGTGGGCAAAGCAATACATGTGGTAAAACATGTGGGGTAAGCTTAATTTGACGCCTTCAAACCACATGCCCGCTGCCCTTGAAATAAGGGACTTTGTCTTACAATTGCCCCTAGAGCATTTAAAGTACCCTACTGGGTGACGTTTGTGCAATGCCATTTGGGTTTTGTGAACGGCACAAAGCCGGCTTTTTGGCAACAGACCGTATACCTCGGCAAATGATACACACAATTCATGCGAGCTCAAGTATTTGTCCACTGCTGTGTCATGGTAGCATCACGGCACATTACTGCTGCAGCGCTCGTGGGTGGAATATTATCATCTTTAAAAAAAATCTGATATTATTTTATATAATACTGTTTTCAAAGAAAATTTCAAAGCTCCCTGAAAAGCGCCGCCGTCGATTTTTTCTTCGAAATTTGGAATATATTTTCAGCATAAAATATTACATTGAAATAAGCGACGCAGGCGAAAATTTGGAATAAAAAAAACACGCGATTTTCGTTATATGAACGTAATATATTGCCCTCTTTTCATAGAGTTAAATAACATATTATATTTACCTGATTGGTTATTTGACATCATTATAAAATTTGAAAGCAGTTATTTTATTTAATTATATTAAAAATTTCCAATAGCGAAAACACACCGGTTTTAATTAAGGCACACGAATATAGCATAATACAAATGTGAATTCCATTGAAATCAATATACCGTTAATACAGAAGTAACCTAACCAAAATTTTTCTATAATACTAATGTATTACTCCATTATTAAAATATATAGTGTAACCTTAATTGAGCGTGGCCCTAAGGAGCGTGGCCCAACGCAGAAATGAGTACTACGCGAAAGTCACCTCGATATGATATAAATTTTACAATATTATCATAGAGTTTTACTTACTTGTGTATATTAAGTACAAATCAAATATTATACATATATATATTGTTGCGAATTTACTCCTTACTAGTTTACTTTACTAGGTTCGTTTCTCTGGATTGACAAATAAAACCAAAAACCGTTAATTCACTTTAAAAAAATCTCTTTATTTCAGAATTCGTCTACACTATAGCAGTTTACTCTTAGCACTCCTTGCTGATGCCGACGTGTACCTCTAGAATATTGCATCGGGCAATTATAAGAACATAAGATATACAGTTAATGTTTATGCTACAAGTAGACAAACAGACAACCGCGGCGCCCAATGTTCATAATAAGGAATGCATATAGCAAAACAAACACACGTAATGCTATACATTCCATAAACATACAGCTATTGTTTAAGTAGACAAACAGACAACCGTGGCGCCCAATATTTATAATAAGGAATGCTTATAGATAGCAAGACAAACAAATATAATAATGCCAAAAGTTAGCACGAACCAAGCATAAAGTGCAACTATGCCAACAACCCCGAAATTACAGCGCAAGCGACAACTGGTAAATTCTGCCGATGCAGCCTCAGCACATCCGGCACATGCCAATCGAACATGCAATCGAATGGCTTATACTAATTGCTTATACTAATTCTAGGAAATAGATCACGCCACTTAATAATTCCGTGGCTTAGAATAAGTATAAATTAACCAAATTGTTAAATTTAAGTTTGAGTCGTTTTTGGTCAATAAAGCGGACACGCTGTCCGATTAAAAAATAATTTTTTTGGTATTCCCAACGCGGGAAAACATAATTTATATATTCCATATACATGCAGCTATTGTTCATGTTATAAGTAAACAAACAGTCAACCGCGGCGCCCAATGTTTATAATAAGGGATGCATATAGCAATACAAATACAACTTAATACTACTTTTGTAAGAATATGTATTAGGAAAAAGTGTTCAAAACTCAATTGTAGTTTGAAAGAATCACGCGAAAATACAAATAAAGAAAATTTTTTGAAAATCCTACATATTTGGTGCTTAAAATGTGGCAACATTCGTATTCCTCATAATTGTAAACATTCTAACGTTTTCAACGATTTAGCTAAAATATAACAAAATAAAAGTGAGGTATGAACTTATTACAATGTTTAGAGTGTATATTTAAGTATAAAGAGTAAAAAATGTGAAAAGATTTTGTGCAACATTGTGAAATACTAATAGCGGGATTCTATAACCAGTCTCTAGTCTCTGTGTGAGACATTTTGAGTTAATATCTCTATTTGTGACTAGTTACTATTCAACAGTCTCTAGATTTCGTCTCAAAATATTGCCTCCAATTTGAGACCTAGTTGGCAGGTCACCAAACCAAAAAAAAAAACTCTTGACTGCCATTTTGAATATACTGAATAGAGATCTTCTTCTTCTTGATTGGCGTAGTCACCGCTTACGCGATTATAGCCGAGTTAACAACCGCGCGCCAGTCGTTTCCTCCTTTCGCTACGTGGCGCCAATTAGATATTCCAAGTGAAGACAGGTCCTTCCCCACTTGGTCCTTCATCAGAGATCATCATAGATATTAATCGATTGTCGTTTTCTTAAATTTTGTATGCAACTCAAACACGAAAAGATTAAAAATAAATAATATTAATTATTTACATAAATTTCGTTAATATTATGAAACAAAGTCAACATATATTTTTATTTTATTGATAATTATGTTTTTCGACCATGTTATAGAAAATTTTATATTTGTTACCGACATATTTATTTTCATTCAAGTGTAAAAACATCTCTGAATAATGAAATGTAATAGATTTTGGGATTGTCACTTACAGAATAGCAGAATCGTCTCATGGCACAAACATTTTTTCTAGAGAAACAGTATCACAGTACAGAATCGCACAGTAAGTATGAATTTCTGTCGCCCTACTGATTTGGCTGGAGTCGATTCGGCTGAATGCTGTCCTCGAGCAAATAACTTATTTTGGTGTATTAAACAATTTTTCAATGTTTTCATAGCACTGGGAAATTCTGAGATCCAAAATACCAAATGCATTCACTGTGTTCCTAATAACAGAAACCTTGCGGTAAAAGCTCGTTGGAACGTTGATGGAATTTTAAATTACATGAGCAACTTTTAGTACGTTTCGATGGACAAGCCATCATTAATTTCATTGATTGATATAGAAAACCTTGTGGATTTGCAATTTCTGCGCGACTAGTGGAAAGGAATTAAAAATTAATGCAGAATTGTTGCAGAGTATTTTACGATGTTATTATCAGTAAGAAAAAAGCAGAGAAACGACCTACATAAAAAAGTGAATGATAATTGCAGTTAAAAAAGTCTTTCTATGTCATTCTCATTTCTATGGCGGTTAAATAATATGAAAGAAGATGAGCTCAACGCAGCTGCAAAAAAAAAATTGCAAAAGAGTGTTCCGTTAATGTAATTTTTTTTTTTTTAATTGAAGAATTTTTTTAAATGAATGTTTGGAATATCGAAAGGAGGATTTGGATAGTGTAGTAGTACCTTGCAAATGGATAATTCTTGACGATTTTAATGTGTTTCCGTACAAAGTTCAAAAAATGATTGAAATTGCTGAAAAAGACAATAAATTGATAATTTGCATGTGTATGTCTGATGAAGCCCATTTTGAGCTAAACGGAAATGTAAACGAGCAGCATTTCCATATATGGAGTGAACCAAATTCAGAAATAATTCACGAGAAGGAACTTCGCCCAGACGGAGTCACTGTGTGGTACGCAGTTTCATCAAGACGTATTGACGGATCGTAATTTATTGAAGAAAATGGTGTAATACTAACTGTCAATGGGCGCCGTTGTTTAAAGTGTTGAATGAGGCTTTTTACCCAGAACTGTGTCGAAGACAAATCCTTTTGGAAATCGTTTGGTTCCAGCAAGATGGAGCAATTTCGAACATATCCATATCCCTTAAAAATTTACTACCATGAAACTCCACTTTCAGCCTGACCTGATTGCACCAGACTTTGTTTTGTAAGGTAATGCCAAGTAAGAGATGTACGAAACAAGCCGCAGAAATCTGACTAAATTGAAGCAGTCCATTAAATCGATAATCCCGACTTCAACCCTTCTGGCCGCAATGAATAATTTTTGAATTAGGTGTCGCATATGCATGGCTGGGCTGGAGGTCACAACTTTTAAACAGTCAAACCTGAGTAAGTGAGAAAACTCTACAAGTGAGAGTAATAGCCAGGACCCGTAATTTTAAGCCCACAAAACCTCTATTAGTGAGAAACAGAAACCTCTGTATCCCTCAAGGAGCTGCGTAAGTGAAACTGGTACTTATTTATACATCTATAAGTGAGAGTCGAGCTTTATTTATTTACGTATATTATTTAGGAGAAACTATAGCTACTGTAACGAAGCTTTTTTTTGCTGCCCCTGCTTCTTACAAGTATAAATTGCTGAGGTATACTCGCCGTGTCCAGGGTTCGTTGCAATGAATTTGTAAATACTGGGGCTCTTCTGCGAATCGTACTTTATTTAATTTAACTTATATATTTTAGTTAAAACTACCAAATTGTCTCCTGCGTTTTACTGTCGTCGCCCGAGGAAAGTGCTGTCAGGGTAACGATTTCGTGTGGTCCGTTAGGACAATACCGTTTCCCGCTCTGCTGTGCTCTTTGGTGCTAGACGACTTGCTGTCCTATACCACGACAATCACGCTCGGCTACTTCTACCGGCGCTCACGCGGGATTCGCTGACGATATCCTGCGACGTGCGTTGACGCTTCCGTGCTACGACGACCACGCTCGGCTACTTCTGCCGGCGCTCGTGTAGGCTTCAATGACGGTGTCCTGGTGTACACGTTGACGTTCCTTTGCTACGACGACTGCGCCCGGCTATCTCTGCCGGCGCTCCTGTATGCTTTGATGGCGACATCCTGGCGTATACGTTGACGCTCGCGTGCGTCTGCGATCGCGATGTTAAAGGTTGAGTTGGTCAGAGGATAAACTCACTACCAAGTTCACACTTAACAGATGGCGTTTACAAGTCAGAGTACCAAGACTAGCTAGAGGATAAACTCACTGCGTAGTCTGATGCTGAACGTGTATACGCTGTCACAGTTCCRTGCTGACTGACTGATCATCGGCCATCTAACTCCCCACCAAGCCTGTGCTGCGTGCTAA